TCCTCCTCCTGTTCATCCTCCTCCTGCCTTTCCTCATCCTCCTTGTCTCCTCCTCCTCCTCGTACTTCCTCATCTGCCATGCCTCCTCATCTCCTTCCCTTCCCCGTGTCCTCCCCTTCCTTGCCGTCCATGTCTCCTCCTCCCACTTATCCTCCTCCTCCTGCCCTTCCTCTTTTCCCTCCGTCCATCTCTTCTCCTTCCCCATCTCGACAACTCCTCCTCGTCGTCCTCGCTATCCTCATCGTCCTCCTCGTCCACATCTTCCTCCTCCTCTCCATATCCCCCTCTCCTCGCCATTTCCCCATCTTCCTGTCATACGGCCCCCCGTTCCCCCTCCTAAAGAAAGATAAAATAATAAAAATAAAAATAAAAAAACTGCACGATTCCGCACAGGCACCCCCCGCACGGAACTCCGCACGAATGTGCGGCTCATGCGGTTGCAAGTATGATTTGTTATGTTATTATTAATTTATTACTGTATTAACTGTAAGATCCACTATTGTTTCCACAAAGGCAGTACGCTGAGGTGCCATACCCACAAAGTGTGCAATATTTTCGCCTTGTGAACTCTGAAGTGGTTAAACCACCAGTACTTCCTAAAGTCGTCCCGTTAACAAGCCACAATTTGAGGAAATGTACGGGTCACTAAAGGAGCGCCCAAATCCATCCGACTAGAAACGTTTTTACTCTATTTTCTTCCACAGCCGATAGCTGGGCCAAGTACTGGTGGTTTAAGGCACTAGGCAGGGAGCTTACATGTGGCAGAGCCTGTGAGAGAGAGATTGCTTGCCGGGCACAGCCATTGACATTCTCAATGATTCACCAATTTTTCACCCATATTGTGTGTGCTACTTGGTTGAAGTTATGTCCTGTATCTGATGGAACTGCCATCACGGACGGCGAACGCCACCTCAAATAAGTCATAATTGCTGTCATCACGGAAGGCAAACTACCACCTCAATGAGTCGTAATTGCGAAGATGTGGCACGAACCTCGTTCAGAAAACAGATGAGGTTCATGTTAGATGAGATGGCAGTGATGGCTGGGCATTGTGTTAATGCTTTTATTTTCCTCTTCTTTAAGAACAAGAAAAATGGAAATCGGCTGGTAAAATTCAGCCGTATGGCTACAGTCCCCTTTATATTGGGGAACATGCCTCCTGCGCACCATCCATCAACAGGTTATGGAATAACAAAATCGCTGATCGAGGATGGTGTTCAATTTTTAACCACCAGTATGTGTCCCATTCATGTTGCAGAAACGCGCCAGTATATTCGGAAGCCAAATGGGAAAGGGCCGCCGTTGATAAATGTCATCGGCGGCCCGTTTTTCGTTTCAGCCTCGAATTCCCACCCGCGGCTGATATATGGGAAATCTACTCGTGGTTTAAGGCCATGTCTTATGTCCTCACTCTTTCTTCTTCAAACTTCCTTTTTAAACTCTCTCTCTCTCTCTCTCTCTCTCTCTCTCTCTCTCTCTCTCTCTCTCTCTCTCTCTCTCTCTCTCTCTCTCTCTCTCTCTCTCTCTCT